AAAAATGTGAATTACAGATTCCTGTCATAATAATTAAATGTATTTATAAACAATTAGTGTTCAATTATTGCCAAATATGATTATTTTAGACGATTGCCGATTAGATGAATTATCAAAATCAATTAATTATCGAATAAAATGTAAAAATTAATCAACAAAGTTGCTAGCGCCATCTATTAACGAACAGCCAAAATTTTAATGAATCTAATTCGATTTTTATGCAAATGACGCTTAATTACTGATAGTTAATAATCAATAAACCGATATTAATTGAAAAAAGCATTAAAATTAACTAATTAGTACTTACATTTGCATAAAATCTTCAACTGTCCAAACTTGTGAATTGCAGATTTCTGTAACAATAATCAATCGATTTATAAGAGAATAATGATTTATTAATAATAAAAAGTAATAAATATAGATATATAAAGCAAGTAATCAATAGAAAAATTATTTAAATTAATAATAATTCGAAAAAACAAATTATATAAACTATCGCCGCCATCTATCAACGAGCGGCCAAAGTTGCCAATTACAGATTCTTGTAATGGTAATTAATTGATTTTAATGCAAAATAAAGTAATTATTATTCTTTTAGGAAATTAAAATTTGAAAAAATCAATACAACCAATAAAATAATTGATAAAATTTTGGAACAAAATGATCGAGGGCCAAAAAATGCGAATTACAGATTCCTGTCATAATAACTAATATTAAGCAAAAGAAATTTTCAATTTTTAGTTAGACTCTCGATTACTAGATGGCGCCACTAATAAAACTATTAAAATTGTTTAAATAATTAAGAAAAATTGTTTATTTTCAATGCACTTAGGCTCATTAAAATCCTCTATCGAATGGAACATGATTCGTACTCAAATCGATCAAAGCATTCCAGAGTAATGGCCGATTAATTTTCCGATTTGAATATGAAAAATTAAGGAATTTTCAAATTTAAAGGCCTGAAATCTGGAAGTTCTGGATAAAACTGTTTTGTAGCAAATTTAATCCTCTTTCGAATGAAACTTGATTCATTGAAATCGGTCCAGGCGTTCCAGAGTTATAACCGATTAAATAAGACCATGTCAGGCTGGAAAAACCTCATCCCTATAGATTTTCTTTCTAATTTTTTTCCAGGCTTAGGAGACGTCCTACGGGAAAATGCCAAATAGCTTTTCTGCTTGTTTTGACCTCCTCTATACAACGAAATTTTTGTTTTTTCGAAATTCGAAAATTTCGATTTTCCATTTTTTTCATAAGAAATTCATAAAGAAACAAAGCAAAAACTCCAGGAAAAACTGAGAATTGAGGGGGGAAAAGTGGGTTCCGACATTTGTCTGAACGTCCTCTATGACGTCATGAAAAAAAATCCCGGAAATTTTGACTTTGATTTTTTCGCTGAAAAAAAATCCTGGGCTCTATCGATTTTAAAATTTCCAAGTGGAATATCTTGGAAATGGTGAGTCGTAGAGGAACAACTTACTGAGCTTTTTTTGTAGATCTCGACGAGCTCTATAATGTAGCCATGAACGGTTTTCCTCTACGACTTACGGTTACCGATCTATGGCTGGTTGAAGTTTCAATTTTTGTAATTTTCAGAGTTTTCTGTACTGTAGGTATAGGACCAAAAATCAAAGTCAGAATTTCGAAATTTCAAGATAGCCATTTTGTAGAGGGGATCCCAAAAAGTCCCGAAACCAACTTTTTTTTCCCTTTATTTTCCGATTTTCCATGTTTTTCCAGGCTTTTCAATGGAAAAATCAAACTTGAAAATTTTGGAAAAATTATTTTTTTTTGGCTAAAAGGGGCCAAAATAAGGCGAAAATGCCTCTTGACGTTTTTTGATTTAGGGCCTCCTAAGCCCGGAAAAAATTCCAAAAGAAAATTTCCAGCTTGACGCATAGCCCCATTAAATCGAAATCGGCCATAACTCTAGAACGACTGGACCGATTTCAATGAATCTTGTTTTATTCGATAGAGGATTAAATTTGCTATAAAAACCGTTTTTTGTAGACTGGTGCAGTACTGCCTTCGTCAGCATCTGGCTACTCAATGGCTTCAGCATCAGTACCGCAACCCGACAGTTCGTACAGCGTAAGTAGCGGAGGCTCTTCCATTTTATCTTCAACTTCTGGCTCTTCAACTCACGCTTGTTGCTCTGGTCATTGCATTGGAGGCGCCTACCCAAGACAACCCAGAACTGGTGCAATAAAAAGGTACCTACAGTAATAATTATTTGATTCTGTTTTTGAATTTTTCAATTGCAGATCTCAAAAGCAAGACATGAAAATGACTCTTAAAGACTACTGCAGCAAGAACCGTTTGTCTCCGATTCGAGAGGCGAGTCCTTTGCACAGTGTGCAGCCTCCTGCCTCTACGAGAATCAGATGCGCTCAGAAGATTCTGACGCAACTGGAAATGCCGCTGCTTGTCCGCAAAACTTACAAATATGAAAAATTAGCCCAAGAGGACGACAACTTGCACAAAAAGGAGAAAATCGACAACAAAAAGAACGAAATAACTGAAAAGAATATGATGGTGAAGAAGAATAAATTTTGAACAAACCTCATATTAAATAATCAAAACAAGTTTATTAGGTCAATTTTCTATAATACTTAGGTATATAAAAAGGAGTTTTAAATTTATCTAAAAGTGATGGCAATAATTATAGAGGCCTAGAGGCCTCAAATTTTAGCTCTAAAGTACTTCAAAATGTTCAATTGCATAATATAAAATATAATAATAGAGATGAGTTAATTAACAAATGTTAAAGTTTTAATAGCAATTTAGTGACGATTAATAAAACAATATTTCTTAAGGGTTTTTTATTGCGTATACTTTGGATTTGGATCGCACATGTGGTACTTCCTCATCAGTACTTCTCTTCCAGTCGCGCCTTCCTGTTCAAATCCAACTCGCATTGAAATTTAGGTATTTACCATCATGTAATCTCTGCAATCTGTAACTCCATTTGCTCATGTAATTGGTCACAATTTGCATTGAGCAGTTGCAATCTTCGTAGGCAGTAGGTCTTTCGATATCGTCTCCGGGTACCTAGTACCACTTTGCCAGCATCTGTCCAGTAAATATGGCTGATTTTAAATGTTCTGTGTGGCAAATATATACATCTGCTCAAACATTGCGTGTCTAGGTTCGACTACATCAGTACCTAGGTACTATTAATTCTGATGAATTCGAGTACTGGAACTCACTAAACCAATACAACAATAGGTAATGCTTTTGTGCATTTTTATTGATAAATACTAGCTGGTTTTGTTTTCAATAAACAACTAAGATGCATAGGTAATGCATGAAATTATATGATGATTTAATAGCCGGTATAGTACCGCATTTTATTAGCGGTACCATCAGTAAATATGGTTGGGTTGGTTGGAAAGTTGTAGGCGGGTTTTCTATTGAGAGTTCTTAATGGTAATTCAAAAAAATACAGATCCACTCTGTATACTTAATGTATAATCCATTAGAGGTTTTAGTTTCGCTCAATTTAGACTTTACAAATCGATAGATGAGTGGGTCAAAATTAGAGGAAAACAACCCTGACATCAATTCTGAATGGCGATTTCAAGCAGAACAAAAATTAAAAAGGAGAAATCCTATTTTTGGCTCTGGAAAGTTTTCAAAATCTTGACATGGTCATCAACAATTGCCCATATTTTTGTTAAATTCTTAGCAAATTAAAATAAACTATATATCATTAGAAAGAGAGCAATAAATTCTCTATAAATCCGTGAAAAATTGAGTTTAATAGCTTTCTTATTCTTGTTCAGCATTTTGCGCCATAGGACATAGCCTATGTTCTATGACCTATGTCACATAGGTCATGTCCACCTTATGATGAAATTGGTTTGAAATTAATAATAAAGTTTATGAGGTAAAATGTAGGACTATGTCGATCATTTTGAGGAAACGAATTAAGTGAGCCGCCCTATTGGTGGTCGTTTTATTTATTTTTTTGGGCAAAATGCCAAAATGTTGGAGGGATTTGATGGAAATTATGCAAAAAATGGATAAAGAAAAGCTTCATATTCAGGAAAAAAACATAGGTAGGTAGGTAGGTAACTTTGCAGCTTATTGGCAGCTACAAAACTAGGTATCGAATTAAGCTGCATCAAAATTATTAATAAGGTATTTGTAGAGAATTTAATAGGCTTCAATTTAAGCCTAATTATGTTGAAATCGGATCGAAATTAACAAAGTTATGATGCAAATTGGCAACATGGGTACCTACTACTATAGAGAAAAAATCAACAAACCTATTTTATCTCATAACTTTGTTAATTTCAATCCAGCCCCACAATTAATTCTAAGAGTGGTCACGTGGTTTTTAATTATTAAGAGCCCCATCTAAACAATTTAAAATAGTTTACAAGTCTTACAATTAATTCTAAAAGTGGAAAAATGGTTTTTGACTAATAAGAGCTCCATCCAAACCATATAAAAGTTTTCAAAATCTTGACATGGTCATGAACAATTGCCCATATTTTTGTTAAATTCTAAGCAAATTAAAATAAACTATACATCGTTAGAAAGAGCAATAAATTCTCTATAAATCTGTGTAAAATTGAGCTTAATAGCTCAAACAGTCTTGCAAGCAATTGAGCCTCAAATTTGACTTTTAATCCAAATTTTAGCGAAAACTTCAAACTCAATTTGCTCAAAAACTATAAACCTGGGAATATTGTAAATTACAGGACTTTTATAGCTTGTTAAGAGCTACAAATGCCCAAAATTTCAATGCAATTTGCCCAACGGTTACCGAGCAATTGAGGTTTGAAGATTTTGGAATCAGAATTCCTTATGAAAAACTCGATTTTCAACCCCGGCATCATTTTTAAATAGCCAATTTAAGTAGAAACTCCTTTAGGGACATGTGCTGTCTACATTAAGATTAAATTAATTCAACAAATTCCCCAAATCATTAGCATAAAAACCGAAAAAACACACAAAAGATTCTTTCAATGACCCCGGAGCGCATTAAATCCTTCTATAGAGTTTAAGGTCGCACCAGGGTACCCGATAAACATATACGAGTCCGGGTACCGCTTATATTAATTGGCTTTTGCATATATTTTAAAACCAGAACCAGCAGAATTAGTAGCCAGTTGATTTTTCGTACAAGACGGTACCACATCATTGAAAGAGTACTACCACATATACACGCGATATTATGATTAAATACGTTGCTTCTGGTGCCGTTATGGCTTTTGCACTATTAACAAGTAAGAATTTTGTTGTTATATTAGTAATCATATTATATTATCACAATTATAAATAAACCAATTAGCATAATATAAGTAAGTGGAAAATCCAAATTAGAATTCTTTTAATTATTGTCCTTGTCCGCTTTTAATAATGTGATGTCATTTTTTTTTTTTCAGTTTTGGCTACAGCCGATGATTTACCAGTGACCCAACAATGTCTGGGCTGTATTTGTGAAGCCATTTCTGGTTGCAACACGACTAATGTTTGTTCCGGAGACGTTTGCGGACCTTTTAGAATCACTTGGGCCTATTGGGCCGATGGTGGAAAACCCACTGTAGGCGGAGAATCTCCAGAAGCACCACAAGCTTATGCCCACTGTGCCGGAGACACTTATTGCGCAGCCTTATGTGTACAAGGCTACATGAGCAAGTTCCAACAGGTTGTATTTGTATTGGTGTTGAAAACTTGATTGCAATAAGATTGATTTCAGGATTGTAACAACGATGGAAAAATCGACTGTGATGATTTTGCGGCCATTCACACGTTAGGAGCTTATGGTTGCGGTGGTTCCTTGCCTCAACCATACGGAGAACGCTATCGCCAATGCAAAACCATTGTAGGAGGCGGACATTAGAGTAACTTTATAAATAAATTAAACAATTTACTGCCTCATTTTATATAGTATATAATATATAGACTGTATTTTAAATAATAATAAAGCAATTATTAATACAATTTGGGGTTGCATATTCGGTACCTTTGCAACCACTCTTTACCAAAATCGTTGCGGTCCAAAGGCAAATCGCAATGAGTTCCTCCGTTGAAATTAATCATTACGAAATCGTCACAATCTGTGACACCGTCACCATTGCAGTCCTATAGAACAACTAATATAGTACCTATTTCCAACTTATGAGAATAGAGTATGGTACTTACCCTGCCATATTTAGACATGTAATTAGTTACTAGTTGTTGAGCGCATCCATAAGAAAAGGTACAATCCTCAAAAGCGCCGGATCTTTGGATGTCGTCCTCGGGTAGTACCACTCTTCCGGCGTCGATCCAGTACAACCGGCTGATTTTGTAAGGGCCGCAGTACCCGGCGACGCAATCGCGTCCGAGGTCGCAATTGGTCGCTGCATAGCACAAACATCTTAAACATTGTCGGTCCAAATTGCTGATGCTGATGTTTGCTAGAAGTTTGAGGTCAAGAGGAGCAATTCACTCAATATTAGACACTCACCTTGACCATTAAGACCACAAATTAGCAACGACACAATAATTATTGCGTTAAAATTCATATTTTGCGTTGAAGAAGACGCAAAACAAACTGATATCAGATGCAATTTTAGCTTGAAAACAAGTTTAGTCGTGTGGCGATAAATCTCTATAATGATGATACAGAGTGGATCATGATGTGGCTTCATAATTTGTCTTACAACTTTTAAGTGTTTTGAACATTAATATTGTTGCTTTTTTCCATGTAGCTCTATCCATCACTCTGTTAACATGTTAATTATATAATTAAAATTGAATTTTCATGTATAATTTTTCATATGTAGCCCGACCTAAAAGGATACCAAACACTTCCGTGATTGGTTCTGCAGAAAGAAGTGGGAGAACACGTAATAAAAATTCACAATCCCAACATAAGTTTCTTTATATGTGTAATGATTTTCAATTAATAAAATACTTAATTCATTTCAGCTACAAGTAGATCAGGTTCTCCCCAGTTCTAGATTATCCTACCTCTCTAGTAGACCAACAGAACACGATTCTGGACATCCTAGAAGAATGTCGTCTGGTATTCCTAGATCAACTGAAGGTGTTCATTGAATTTTATAAAAATTACAAGTGACAGTTGTTTGCCAGTTTTCCAGAAAAAAATTAAAATGCAAGAAGTGAATGTTTCTTAAATAAGTCTATTTTCCAGAATTTTTCCTGGAGTCATTTTTCATTGGATAATTTTGAACTTTTCCTATAATGAGCTTTACACTTTCCTCTCTTTCCTGGAAAAATTTCAAAATTTTCTCTTTGCTAGTTTTCCAGAAAAAAATTAATTTACAAGAGGCTTCATTTAATTTAAAAAAACACTGGAAAAGTCTCGGAAAATCGGAAAATTAAGGGAAAAAAAGTTGGTTCCGGGACTTTTTGGGATCCCCTCTACAAAATGGCTATCTTGAAATTTCCAAATTTTGACTTTGATTTTTGGGCCTATCCTTATAACACAGAACTCTTGAAAATGACAAAAATCTCAACTTCAACTAGCTGTAACTCCATAACGGTAAGTCCTAGAGGAAAACTGTTCATGGCTACATTGTAGAACTCGTCGAGATCTACAGAAAAAGCTTAGAGAGTTTTCCCTCTAGGACTTACCATTTCAAAGATATTCCACTTGGAAATTTTAAAATCGATGGGTTTAGCTCCTTTTTTTTTCGGCCAAAAAATCAAAGTCAAAATTTCCCGGATTTTCTTTGATGACGTCATAGAGGACATCCAAAGAAATGTCGGAACCCACTTTGCCCCCCTTAATTTCCCGTTTTTCCAGGATTTTCCGGGCCTCTTCTATACCTTACAAAATGGAAAATCGAAATTTTCCGAATTTTTGAAAAATAAAAATTCCAGTGTATAGAGGAGGTCAAAACAAGCAGAAAAGCTATTTGGCATTTTCCCGTAGGACGTCTCCTAAGCCTGGAAAAAAATAAAAAAGGAAATTCATGGGGGGGCTTTTCCAGCCTGACATGGTCTTATTAAATCTGCCATAACTCTGGAACGCCTGGACCGATTTCAATGAATCAAGTTTCATTCGAAGGAGAATTAATCACGTTTGTTTCAGGTGAAGTTTCAACTTCTGAAAAAATTTTGAAATTTTCCTATACTTAATGAGCTCCTGACTTTCCTCTTTCTCCTGTAAAAATTTCGAAATTTTCCCTTTGCCAGTTTTCCAGAAAAAAATTAAAATGCAAGAGGTGAATTTTTCTTAAATAAGTCAATTTTCCAGAATTTTTCCTGGAGTCATTTTCCATTGGAAAATTGTGAAATTTGCCTATAATGAGCTCCTGACTTTTCTCTTTCTCCTGTAAAAATTTCGAAATTTTCCCTTTCCCAGTTTTCCAGAAAAAAATTAAAATGCAAGAGGTGAATTTTTCTTAAATAAGTCCATTTTCCAGAATTTTTCTTGGAGTCATTTTTCATTGGAAAATTGTGAAATTTTCCTATAATGAGCTTTAAATTTTCCTCTTTTTCCTGGAAAAATTTCCAAATTTTCCCTTTGCCATTTTTCCAGAAAAAAAATAAAATGCGAGAAGTAAATTCTTCTTAATTTTGTTTAAATAAGTAAATTCTCTGGGAATTTTTCCTGGAGTCATTTCCTATTGGAAAATTTTGAAATTTTCCTATAATGAGCTTTACACTTTCCTCTTTTTCCTGAAAAATTTTCAAAATTTTCTCGTTGCTAGTTTTCCAGAAAAAAATTAATTTACAAGAGGCTTCATTTAATTTAAAAAACACTGGAAAAGTCTCGGAAAATCGGAAAATAAAAAAAAAAACCTAGTTTTGTAGCTGCCAATAAGCTGCAAAGTTACCTACCTATGTTTTTTTCCTGAATATGAAGCTTTTCTTTATCCATTTTTTGCATAATTTCCATCAAATCCCTCCAACATTTTGGCATTTTGCCCAAAAAAATAAATAAAACGACCACCAATAGGGCTCACTTAATTCGTTTCCTCAAAATGATCGACATATATAGTCCTACATTTTACCTCATAAACTTTATTATTAATTTCAAACCAATTTCATCATAAGGTGGACATCATGTCCTATGGGGCAAAATGCTGAACAAGAATAAGAAAGCTATTAAACTCAATATTTCACGGATTTATAGAGAATTTATTGCTCTTTCTAATGATATATATAGTTTATTCTAATTTGCTCAAAATTTAACAAAAATATGGGTAATTGTTCATCACCATGTCAAGATTTTGAAAAATAGGATCTCCTTTTTAATTTTTTTTTCAGCTTAAAATGGCCATTTGGAATTGATGTCGGGGTCGTTTCCCACTAATTTTTACCCCCTCTATCGATTGGTAAAGTCAAAATTGAGCAAAACTGAAAAATAGAAAAATCGAGTTTTCCATAAGGGTACCTATACCTATATCTACCTACCTACCCTCTTTGAATTCTGATTTCAAAATATTCAAAGTTCAATTGCTCATTAACCGTTGAGCAAATTGCATTGAAATTTTCAGCAAGCTCTAAAAGTCCTATAATCTACAATATTCCCAGGTTTAGAGTTTTTGAGCAAATTGAGTTTGAAGTTTTCGACAAAATTCGGACTAAAAGTTAACTTTGAGGCTCAATTGCTCAAAAACTGTTTGAGCTATTGAACTCAATTTTGCACGGATTTATAGAGAATTTATTGCTCTTTCTAATGATATATAGTTTATTTTAATTTGCTAAGAATTTAACAAAAATATGGGCAATTGTTGATGACCATGTCAAGATTTTGAAAACCTTCATCCAGAGCCAAAAATAGGATTTCCTTTTTAATTTTTGTTCTGCTTGAAATCGCCATTCGGAATTGATGTCAGGGTTGTTTTCCTCTAATTTTGACCCACTCATCTATCGATTTGTAAAGTCAAAATTGAGCGAAACTAAAACCTCTAATGGATTATACATTAAGTATACAGAGTGGATCTGTATTTTTTTGAATTACCATTAAGAACTCTCAATAGAAACCCCGCCTACAACTTTCCAACCAACCCAACCATATTTACTGATGGTACCGCTAATAAAATGCGGTACTATACCGGCTATTAAATCATCAATCAACCCGACCACTACAAAACAAATCTTACTATAATTAATTAATTTCATGCATTACCTATGCATCTTATTAGTTGTTTATTGAAAACAAAACCAGCTAGTATTTATCAATAAAAATGCACAAAAGCATTACCTATTGTTGTATTGGTTTAGTGAGTTCCAGTACTCGAATTCATCAGAATTAATAGTACCTAGGTACTGATGTAGTCGAACCTAGACACGCAATGTTTGAGCAGATGTATATATTTGCCACACAGAACATTTAAAATCAGCCATATTTACTGGACAGATGCTGGCAAAGTGGTACTAGGTACCCGGAGACGATATCGAAAGACCTACTGCCTACGAAGATTGCAACTGCTCAATGCAAATTGTGACCAATTACATGAGCAAATGGAGTTACAGATTGCAGAGATTACATGATGGTAAATACCTAAATTTCAATGCGAGTTGGATTTGAACAGGAAGGCGCGACTGGAAGAGAAGTACTGATGAGGAAGTACCACATGTGCGATCCAAATCCAAAGTATACGCAATAAAAAACCCTTAAGAAATATTGTTTTATTAATCGTCACTAAATTGCTATTAAAACTTTAACATTTGTTAATTAACTCATCTCTATTATTATATTATGCAATTGAACATTTTGAAGTACTTTAGAGCTAAAATTTGAGGCCTCTAGGCCTCTATAATTATTGCCATCACTTTTATATAAATTTAAAACTCCTTTTTATATAAAGATATGTACTAAGTATTATAGAAAATTGACCTAATAAACTTGTTTTGATTATTTAATATGAGGTTTGTTCAAAATTTATTCTTCTTCACCATCATATTCTTTTCAGTTATTTCGTTCTTTTTGTTGTCGATTTTCTCCTTTTTGTGCAAGTTGTCGTCCTCTTGGGCTAATTTTTCATATTTGTAAGTTTTGCGGACAAGCAGCGGCATTTCCAGTTGCGTCAGAATCTTCTGAGCGCATCTGATTCTCGTAGAGGCAGGAGGCTGCACACTGTGCAAAGGACTCGCCTCTCGAATCGGAGGCAAACGGTTCTTGCTGCAGTAGTCTTTAAGAGTCATTTTCATGTCTTGCTTTTGAGATCTGCAATTGAAAAATTCAAAAACAGAATCAAATAATTATTACTGTACCTTTTTATTGCACCAGTTCTGGGTTGTCTTGGATAGGCGCCTCCAATGCAATGACCAGAGCAACAAGCGTGAGTGGAAGAGCCAGAAGTTGAAGATAAAATGGAAGAGCCTCCGCTGCTTACGCTGTACAAACTGTCGGATTGCGGTACTGATTCTGAAGTCATTGAGTAGCCAGATGCTGACGAAGGCAGTACTGCACCAGTCTACAAAAAAAGGTTTTTGTAGCAAATTTAATCCTCTATCGAATAAAACAAGATTCATTGAAATCGGTCCAGGCGTTCTAGAGTTATGGCCGATTTCGATTTAATGGGGCTATGGTCAAGCTGGAAATTTTCTTTTGGAATTTTTTCCGAGCTTAGGAGGCCCTAAATCAAAAAACGTTAAGAGGCATTTTCGCCTTATTTTGGCCCCCTTTAGCCAAAAAAAAATAATTTTTCCAAAATTTTCAAGTTTGATTTTTCCATTGAAAAGCCTGGAAAAACATGGAAAATCGGAAAATAAAGGGAAAAAAAAGTTGGTTTCGGGACTTTTTGGGATCCCCTCTACAAAATGGCTATCTTGAAATTTCGAAATTCTGACTTTGATTTTTGGTCCTATACCTACAGTACAGAAAACTCTGAAAATTACAAAAATTGAAACTTCAACCAGCCATAGATCGGTAACCGTAAGTCGTAGAGGAAAACCGTTCATGGCTACATTATAGAGCTCGTCGAGATCTACAAAAAAAGCTCAGTAAGTTGTTCTTCTACGACTCACCATTTCCAAGATATTCCACTTGGAAATTTTAAAATCGATAGAGGATTTTTTTTCAGCGAAAAAATCAAAGTCAAAATTTCCGGGATTTTTTTTCATGACGTCATAGAGGACGTTCAGACAAATGTCGGAACCCACTTTTCCCCCCTCAATTCTCAGTTTTTCCTGGAGTTTTTGCTTTGCTCTTTTATAGGTTTCTTATGAAAAAAATGAAAAATCGAAATTTTCCGAATTTTGGAAAAACAAAAATTCCAGTGTATAGAGGAGGTGAAAACAAGCAGAAAAGCTATTTGGCATTTTCTCGCAGGATGTCTCCTGAGCCTGGAAAAAAATAAATTATAGGGAAGCTTTTTCAGCCCGACATGGTTCCATTAAATGGGCCATAACTCTGCAACGCCTAAACCGATTTCAATCAATCATGTTCCAATCGAAAGAGGATTAAATTGCCTACAAAGTAACCAAATTATTACCTTTAGTCGTAGAATTTTGGCTCTGCAAATGACGCATCTCAAAGGCAGCAATCGTTGCGATACGGCAATTTGGATAGTTTTCACAAAACATTTTCTGCAAACTACTTGGTGACCGCAGGGAGAAGTTTGCATCGTGGCTTTGGCGTGAATACATATAACGCACTATACAGAAAATACAACCATTAAATCTTATTACTTATAGTTCTGTTCCAACAGACATCAAATTGGTTGGAACATTAGAGCCTAATTTCATTGTACAATAATCTACAATACCTCTTCTTCCTGGCAAGTGGCCAATTCCGGTTCGTTTTCTTCCAGTTTTGATAAGAGTTTGTCCTGAAACCAAAAGATAATGAGTTGCAAGGCGTTTCCTCAATTTACATCTTAAGTTGAGGTCATAACATATGCTTAAGATGATTATTCATTATTACATTAGTATGAATCAAATCCGGAATAAGGTGATTATGATCTTCAAAAGTGGTTTGCCTTTACATTGAATCTATAGTCAAATAATACACAGATTGACCTCAGTTGGTGTAATTTGTTCATATAAAAAACAACAATTTACGGAAGCTATTGTAGTTTTCGTGCGGCATCATGAACAACATTGCATCGTTCCTGATCGGTACCGGGATTAATTTGTTTTATTTGCCGTTTCCCGATAATGCTGAGAATGTTTTCAATGTTTTAAGAAATACGCCAGCTTGTAGGACAATTGATTTGTTTGTAGGTGAGGAATCTTTGTACAAATATTGGAAAATTTCTAATCTATTATAAAGAATCGGTTCGACAATTTAAGTACCTATATCCTGAGTATAGTATATACTAAGTCAATTATGTTTGTTCAAAGTGTTCTGGAAAAGTCAAATAAGCCCTCGTTTCAGCAGGGAGCGTTTACTTAATTAAATTTCCAAGTAAAACTCGGTATTGCGTGCAAAATCCGATAACGATCCCGGAGTTAATTGCAATTAAACCTGTTGTTTAAAGAACAATTATTAATCATTATTCAAACACTCAAAAATCAAGTGTATATGATAACAACCATTATAAAACCTTTGCGCTCCATTTATATAAGCCCAAAATGAAGCTAATTACGGTTGCTTCGGTACTGGCACTAATTAGTACCAGTACTTGTAAGACAATTCAAAATGGTTTGTACAGTGATTGGTGGCAAAACGCTGTGCTTTATCAAATCTACCCGAGGAGTTTCAAAGATAGCAACAATGATGGCAATGGGGACTTACAAGGTAGCTACACTCTTAAAACAACCAAATAATTATATAAAAGTTTCATTATAAGGCATCATAAGCAAACTGGATCATTTGCAAGACATGAACATCGATGGTATTTGGCTGTCGCCCATCTATAAATCTCCTCAAGTCGACAATGGCTACGACATTGCAGATTTTAGAAGTGTTGATGAATTGTATGGGACTTTGGATGATTTAAAACAATTACTAGACGAAGTCCATAAGCGTAACTTGAAGCTCATTTTGGATTATGTGCCCAATCATACCAGCGACCAACACAAGTGGTTTCAGGCCTCTTTAAACAAAGACCCACAGTATGATGATTATTACATTTGGCGCAATGCTAGTTATGTTAATGGGATACGTAAAGAGCCTAATAATTGGGTAAAATGATATTAATTAAATATTTTAATTAACTAAATGTTTTCTTAAATAGTTGAGTGCCTTTGGAGGCTCAGCTTGGGAATGGAACAACCAAAGACAACAGTATTATTTCCATCAATTCTCAACAGGCCAGCCTGATTTAAATTACAGAAATCCTCTAGTTGTGAAGGAAATGAAAGATGTTTTGCGATACTGGCTAGATTTTGGTGTGGATGGTTTTAGAATGGACGCAGTTTTTACTTTGTTTGAAGATGTTACCTTGCCTGATGAGCCTCTTTCAGGCGAAACTGATGATCCAAATAGCTATGGTTATTTGTCTCACATCTATACATCTAATTTGAATGAAACTGTAGACATGATTTATCAATGGAGAGATGTTTTGGATGAATACAGCATCAACTATACTAGAATAATGATGACTGAAGTCTATAGTGATGTTAATAATACAATGCGCTATTATGTTAATGAAGATTATAGTAGATATGGAGCTCATTTTTCTTTTAATTTTAACAGTTTTGTTACTGGCCTTAAACAGGGCTTCAATGCAGTAGATTTGTATGGAAACATAACCATTTGGACTGATAATTTGCCTAACAATTGCACTAGTAATTGGGTGGTAAGTATAAAAAATAAACTCAATTTATTAAATAATACAATTTCTATAGCTTGGTAATCACGATCAAACAAGAGTATCTACAAGATTAGGCATTGAAAACATAGACGCCTTAAACATGTTAGTATCGATTCTGCCAGGAGTTCAAATCACATATCAAGGCGAAGAAATTGGACAGGAAAACGGTGAAGTCAATTGCACGCAAGGCTATGATCCTCAAGCAATCAAAAATTGCTCAACTTATGCTCAATTGAGCCGCGACTTTGAACGCACCCCTTACCAATGGGATAATACAACTAATGCAGGTTTCAATGAAGGCAATCAAACTTGGTTGCCTGTAAGTGAAAAATACTTACAAACCAATCTTGCTATTGAAAGAAATTCTATTAAGTCCCATTATAACATCTACAAAACCTTGGTGGATGTTAAAAAGCAATTTAAAGTAGCCACAAGTGACGCCTTGTATTTGGCTGATTGGGACAAGGAAATAAATGTGTTTTACATTGAGCGGCAGACTGATTTTGCTCATTACGCAGTCATTTTTAATGTCAATGACGAAAAAATCAAGCCTCCATTGGTTATTCATAATAAGGTTGAAGTTGTTGTTGGTAGTTTGAACAGCCAATATAATCCAGGGTAAGAGATGAAGGACTTAGTTTTATAATAATGACTTATTAAAATTGAATTTTTATAGGGATGTTTTCGACTTTACCAGGCCTTTGAATCCAAAAGAATCAATCCTATTGAAAATAACACATTAAATAAAAAAGTTTCCAAGTATATTATTGCATTTTGTTGTTTATTATAAATGGAATGCTGAAATTTTCACTGAATTTCATCTCAATAAAAAAACTATAAACCCTGAAAATTTCAGCTCATTTGCACCTATAGTTCCTGAGATAAATTTGAAATTTCATCACTTTAGTAAAAAGGTACCCCCCTTATGATTTTTTTGGAAAACTTTCAAAGGTCGTAACTTTTTTTCTATTATAGATAGAAAGCTGAATCTTTCACTGAATTTCATCCCTTCCAAAGGACTACAATCCCTGAAAATTTCAGTTCATTTGCACTTGTGGTTCCTGAGATAAAATCGTGTTAAGCAATTGAGGTGATTTATCAATTTTTCAATTTTTCTAAGTGCCTTTTCTCATAGATTCCGGCTTCAAATCTGAGTATAATTTTGTGTATGGAGTTCAGGGTATCACGAGGGACCAGTAGAACCCAAAATCTTGACAAAAAAAAAATTTGAAATTTCATCACTTTAGTAAGAAGGTACCCCCCTTATGATTTTTTTGGAAAACTTTCAAAGGTCGTAACTTTTTTTCTATTACCTATAGATAAAAAGCTGAATCTTTCACTGTATTTCATCCCTTCCAAAGGACTACAATCCCTGAAAATTTCAGCTCATTTGCACTTATAGTTCCAGAAATAAAGTCGCGTTATGCAAAATCTCTTTGAATTTTTAAATGAAACCCGGGAAAACTCCCTTGAGACTGATATACAATTTCAATTTACACTACAGGCGAAAACAAGCTGAAATTCAATCCCATTCCGAGAGGACATTGCACCAATTGCTGTCCGATGAAACCCAATAGAGATGTTAGATTTCTGCTTTACAATCCAACAAATTGGGGTGTCGCAATTGAACCGTTCAATCAGAAAGGCTCAGCGCAAAAAGCTGGAGCAAATCCTGCATGGAATACCACAATTTATATTCATGGATTTTCTGAGTTAAGCCCTGGGAAAAGTGGACAAGCAATAGTTGATGGTACTATAATCTAACTCAGAAATAATTAAGTATAATTATAAAATATTGTAGCATATCTTTCGCGTCCAGAACCCCACAACGTAATCCTACTAGATTGGTCTGAGTTGGCTCCTTTTCCTTGGTACCGCACAGCAGCTCAGAATGTTAAAATTGTGGGGCAAATTCTGAGCAACTTTATCAAGCTTTACAATGAAACTGGGGAAATTCCAGCTCAGAAGTTGCATTTAGTAGGATTCAGTTTGGGCAGTCACATTGCCTCAATGGCTGGCAAAAGATTACAAAAACTACCCAGGATAACCGCATTGGATCCTGCTTATCCAGAGTTTCCTTTGCAAGGTAATAAATATATTCGATTCTTAAATATATAATATGATTAAAGTAACTACCTATAATGTGATTAGATGTTGCAAAAAGGCTGGATAAAACTGACGCTGATTATGTGGACGTTATTCATACAGATGCAGGGGTTTTTGGGTTTCCTTTGTCCATAGGACATGCGGATTTCTATCCGAATGAAGGTAAAGCTTTGCAGCCTGGATGCCAGCCGAGCTATTTGGTTCAGCAAAGAGTTGCGGATCAAGTTTGTGAGTGAATCGATCCAGATAAGTAAAAATACATTAAAAATTATTTTTCAAGGGGCCTGTAGTCACGTAAGAGCTTGGAGACTCTACGCAGAGTCTGTTATGAATCCAGAGTCTTTTCCAGCTACACGGTGTCACAGTGAAGAGTGCAACTTTACTGTAGATGCTTTTATGGGTTTTAATAACCAGTAAGTGAATACCTAATTTAAGTTAATATTAATTTACTTATACTTTGTTTTGTTCTAGAGGAGCTATTGGGCAGTTTTACTTGAAAACAAACTTCAAATCTCCTTTTAGCTTAAGTGTAGAGCAACAAAACTAATATAGCTTTAATGTGATTCTAGTCAAAAGTTCCTCTCTGTTTAATAAATTATTTTGTAATTGAATTTCATGTTTTATTTGGCCACTTTACGAAATTGCATCCATTGGCCTGATTTTCCATATTTTCCATCGATAAAACAAACTTTATGTGTTTCAAAAGGCACAGTTTATTCATCGTATTACAGTTTGCTTTAATATTTCTTGTTCCAACTTGACTTTTTCCGTAAAGGTTGGGGGTTTGGGGTGGTCCTTGTCCTCGACAAATTGCACGTAATCCTCGGCCATCGATTCGCGCTCTTTGATTTGCAAACAAGCCCTTTCGACCAAGTCCAGCTCGAAACTGGAAAGAGGCGGCAAACCGTGATTGTGCACTATACCACCCCTTGAAAATTGAACCGTGCTAACCAAATATCTAAAAATTAAGGCGTTTACTAAGGTTTTACTGAAAAATTATAGTTCATCATAATATATACTTGCAAGTCTCAAGTAGATTATTACGAACAAAAACATTAGCAAGAGCCTTTTTATCTCCACAAATACCCAAAGCTATAGTAGATATTAATTGGTTGAGGGCGAAACTTTCTGCCAAAGGGCAATCGTCCACAAAGTTGCAATCGCCCTGGTTTTTAGGAAAATCATCTTCGGGTACCCCTCTGAAACGTGCCGTCAACGTTTTAACCCCCTTACTACCTGCAATTTTTCTAATTATTTAAACTCAATTAACCTAGGCAATCTAATACCGAAAATTTCAACAGGCTTCGATCTACTAAACAAAGGCAAAGCCAAATCGTTATCGGGGCCCCCTACGAGGGGCACGTAACAGTTTTGCGGGTCCAAATCCTGATAGCGGGCCAATAAGGTGTTCGCTTTGACTTGAGCAATAGCGGCGGATCCAACGATCCTGCCTGGATGATAAAAGTTCGTTTTTCTCAAAACTTCAGTTACTAGGGCTGTGGTTACGGAAACGGGGGGCACATTGACTACCAGAACAGCCCTGGGAGCGTAAATCGAGCATTGGGTGGCGATGTTGTACAGGCGTTTGCCTTCTTTCATTATGCGCTCGCCTATCGGGGTGTCTGGTTTGAGGGATTCGGATGGAAGGATCAGGACTATGTCGGCACTCTGGAAATTGTGAATAATCATAAGTTTTTGATTGTTTTTGTGTATAAATTGACATTTTTCCAAAGGAATTGGCATGAATCTTTTGCCCAATTGTAGCTCTTAATAAGGGCTACAAAAAAGGTTATTTAAGACTCCGAGCCCAAGGGTTTCGTTTCCAAGATAATCGGCCTGGAAGCTTTTGTATAATTTGAGGCAAAGTTTCAACTTTGAGCCTCAATATCTTCAGAAGTATTCAAGATATAGAATTGAATCTTATTTTATCTTGAAGATAATTTAATTCTGATTCAGAATATATAGTTTTACATTATATTTGTTACAATAATAACCGAGTAATCAGCAATTTTGTGAAAGAATATCAGATTATTGAAATTTTTTGAGCCCAAAAATTGTAAAAATCGTTTTTATTTTTTAACAAGGCTTTAAAACCCAAGAAGGAAAGTTGCAAATATGCTTTTCCACTAATTTTGATCTCCTCTTTCGATTGGTGAAGTCAAAAATTCAAAAATCTGAAAATTTAAAAATTCGAACTTTTCCCAAGGGGAATGCATGGAAATTTGATTTTCAAATATTTCAAATGCTTATATTTTGGAAACCATAAGCGCTATTGGCATGAATCTTTTGCTCAATTGTAGCTCTTAATAAGGGCTACAAAAAAGGTTATTTAAGACTCCGAGCCCAAGGGTTTCGTTTCCAAGATAATCGGCCTGGAAGCTTTTGTATAATTTGAGGCAAAGTTTCAACTTTGAGCCTCAATATCTTCAGAAGTATTTAAGATATACGATTGAATCTTATTTTATTTTGAAGATAATTTAATTCTGATTCAGAATATATAGTTTTACATTATATTTGTTACAATAATAACCGAGTAATCAGCAATTTTGTGAAAGAATATCAGATTATTGAAATTTTTTGAGCCCAAAAATTGCAATAATCGTTTTTATTTTTTAACAAGGCTTTAAAACCCAAGAAGGAAAGTTGCAAATATGCTTTTCCACTAATTTTGATCTCCTCTTTCGATTGGTGAAGTCAAAAATTCAAAAATCTGAAAATTTAAAAATTCGAACTTTTCCCAAGGGGAATGCATGGAAATTTGATTTTCAAATATTTCAAATGCTTATATTTTGGAAACCATAAGCGCTATTGGCATGAATCTTTTGCCCAATTGTAGCTCTTAATAAGGGCTACAAAAAAGGTTATCTAAGACTCCGAGCCCAAGGGTTTCGTTTCCAAGATAATCGGCCTGGAAGCTTTTGCAAAATTTGAGGCAAAGTTTCAACTTTGAGCCTCAATATCTTCAGAAGTATTCAAGATATAGAATTGAATCTTATTTTATCTTGAAGATAATTTAATTCTGATTCAGAATATATAGTTTTACATTATATTTGTTACAATAATAACCGAGTAATCAGCAATTTTGTGAAAGAATATCAGATTATTGAAATTTTTTGAGCCCAAAAATTGCAAAAATCGTTTTTATTTTTTAACAAGGCTTTAAAACCCAAGAAGGAAAGTTGCAAATATGCTTTTCCACTAATTTTGATCTCCTCTTTCGATTGGTGAAGTCAAAAATTCAAAAATCTGAAAATTTAAAAATTCGAACTTTTCCCAAGGGGAATGCATGGAAATTTGATTTTCAAATATTTCAAATGCTTATATTTTGGAAACCATAAGCGCTATTGGCATGAATCTTTTGCCCAATTGTAGCTCTTAATAAGGGCTACAAAAAAGGTTATCTAAGACTCCGAGCCCAAGGGTTTCGTTTCCAAGATAATCGGCCTGGAAGCTTTTGCAAAATTTGAGGCAAAGTTTCAACTTTGAGCCTCAATATCTTCAGAAGTATTCAAGATATAGAATTGAATCTTATTTTATCTTGAAGATAATTTAATTCTGATTCAGAATATATAGTTTTACATTATATTTGTTACAATAATAACCGAGTAATCAGCAATTTTGTGAAAGAATATCAGATTATTGAAATTTTTTGAGCCCAAAAATTGCAAAAATCGTTTTTATTTTTTAACAAGGCTTTAAAACCCAAGAAGGAAAGTTGCAAATATGCTTTTCCACTAATTTTGAT